TTTTTTATCGATAAAAAAACTTATCGAAAACCAGTTATAAAATTATATCTTCTACACCTTTATTGCTAGAGTCTCCAAATTTTTAAKGTATGCTTATATGCAATTTATACAATTTCGTTTTTTGTTAAAATTTACCCCCCACCTCTATATCCACCCCCTCACCCTCACTTTTGTAAAAGGCGTATTTCAAATAATAGAGACTTGTGCTTTGGCAAATACATACATATCCATGTTATATTCATAATCTGAAAGTTGCATGACGATCGTATGTCCACAAAAAAAGTTATTAAACAATTAACGCACACTGCAGCCCATGCGTGTTTATGCGTGGGTGCTTGTGTGTGTATGTGTCTGTGTGTGTGTGTGTGCGCGCGTGTGTGTGTGTGTTTCTTGTGTAAGCAGAAAAACGCGAAAAATTTTTGAAATACCTAATGCTCCAAGGGTTCAGTGGATCTCGTAGTGGAGCATTCTCGACTAGAGTTTTCTTACTTGTTTAAAATCAAATCAGCATTATTTAAAGTGCCTCCAAAGTACACGAAAAACAACACATACATACATTCATGCACACACACACACATACGCACGCACGGATAAAGATTCATTGGCTGCAGTGTGTGCCTACTATTGGAACTTAATTGCTTAATAACTTTTCTTGTGGATAGACTTTTTTTACGGACATTAAAATGTTAGCAACACTGTAGATCACATAGACCGAATAAGTACTCTAAAGCATTTAAAAAACAAATTGAGCATAGGAGCGTTTTTTGTTCAACATTTGACCATCTCGGTCGAGAGCATGATTTCGTATACGTTAGTAACCCGAAGCTAAAAGTGAGGAGCCGAGCAAATACGAAGTTGTCTGGGGCGCTAATTTAAAAAAAAACGTATGCAAGATGTTTTACACAGTTTGTCCGGTTTATGTGTTCTGTGGTTAGTGGTAGAACGCAATGCTCGAAAAAAAATTGTGGAAAATGCTTTACACTACTTGTTCGGTCTTTGTGTTCAACGGTTACTGCCCAAATATAAATACCTTGCAACATCAATGCTTTTCTTTTGATACTTCTTATAAGCAGTGTTGCCGTTTGTTCCCGAGAAAAAATAGCTGAATCAGGACAAAATATAAGCAAAAATAAGCTAAATCCCAGAAACAATTAGCTGAAAAATAAGCTAATATTTTAGAAATGTTCATTATTTTGTTTTTTTTTTATATATTGTAATACATAGATACACGTACAAATATTGTAATATAACATTTTATATTCATGAAAAACAAAACGAAAATAATAGAAAATTTAACATTATACATTTTAAATGTTTACATTGATGATAAATCTGTCAATAGATAGTCTACAGACTCTTCGGTCTCATAACTTAAATATTCCTTGGTTGCGATCGATTTGAGACAGTTTAGAAAAATTCTGTAATCAAAACATCATCAGTTATCTCGGCTCAATTCGGATGGAAATTTTTAAAAATATGAGTTTCTGTTTTAATGAGACTGTAATTCTGTAAATTTTTACCTTATGGTTGATATTAAGTTTAACGTATCAATTTTCATTCTATTTCTTATTTGATATTTTATTAAATTGACCCTTAAACTTCGGCATTCCACCAAGGTAACGAATGTATGCAAATCTATCTAACCACTATATGTTAGAGATGAAAGTATTGCAGAACTTGTGATGTTAGCCTTTAATAGTTGCCAGCTTGTTAGTTTGTCTATTAATCGGTAACTAGTATCAGATATTAAACAAAACATGTACTAGCTGATTTGATTCATACATAAGCCTGATTTTCCGCTATTCGCGATTTCCCAATTATTCTGCAATCGCACTTGAAAATAAGCCAGATTTGGCCGAAAATCATCCAAAACGGCAACACCGCTTATAAGTAGACGATCGATACTTTTCATTCGATATCGTGTCCCTACCCCCACCCCTATATCCAACCGCCTGCACGAAAATGTGTATAATACGTATGTACATATTTCTACAAAATAGAAACGTGCTTTGCTTTTTATAATCACGATCTGAAAGTTTCATGTATCTTCTCCATCCACAAAAGCTATTAACCAATTAAACTCCATAGTAGGCCCACACTGCAACATACTGCAGGCCATGCGTATTTATGTGTGCCTGCGTATACATACATACATACATATGTACATATGTGTCTGTGTTTGTGTGTGTTTCTTTTGTAAGCAGAAAGACGTTAAGAATTATTGAAATATCAGTTTCACGAAGGGTTCAGGGGATCTCGATGTCGAGCAGTCTCGACTAGAGCTTTCTTACTTATTAAATATGTGCAATGTATTTATTCTATTCATTTATATATTAACATAAAAATATTGGAAATAATATAATATATACATACATACATACATACATATATGAATATGTAATATCGAGCCTCTTACCAGTTCTTCATCATTGAGCGTTGCCCGGGGCACTGCTGATGTGAGTCCAGCATTCCGTTTTGTGGCTGCCATTGTCTATATATATGTATATACAATATCGAATTAAAATATGAGAGGAACGTTCTAATTGATAAGTGAAGTTCGAAAGTAGAATTATAATTATTTGTCGAATATTGTAATATTAATGCTAATCTTAATTATTGCAAAAATGCAACAATTTAAGCAAAGAAATTTGAACACATAAAAAAATTCAGTTACTAAAATAAAATAAACTTTTAACTGCTTTTAAATATTTTAGCAAGTGCATATGGTACGTACATACATATATCTATATAGAATAGTAAAAATCTAGTGCTCTCATCGAGATTCCCCGATTTTAAGAGTAGCCCTAGAGATTTGCTATACATATATAGCAATACAAAAAATAATGATTCACAATATTTATTACGTGTAAGAAAATAATAGCATATTATGGCAGATAAAATCCAAAGAACAGTAATATTAACGTACATCTGGACTGGCATATTCTATTTAATACTTTACGTAAACTATTTTAAGCAATTGGCTTTTGCAAGCACCGAACTAACGCATGCCAGACCAGTTTAATACGTTTAAGAATGATTGAATTCAATTTTGAATTTGTGACTATACTATATACTACATTATAAGCTTTCCATAAGTTTTGTTGATCCATTTAGCAACACTACAATTAACGTATGTACGTATGTGGTAACGCATCTTCAATAAAATAAAATAAAATCAAGAACTAATTTGAGCCGTCTAAGTAAACTTTATTATAAATAAAATATATATGGTAACAGT